GGTCGTTCTGAACACTCGGGCGGGTCCTTGGGGCAACTCGGTTCGCAGTCAACTGGTTCCGCGAAGTACTCTCGTTTGTTCTTGACTACCGCTTGCAAGGAAAGACTGCGCCTTTTACAATTTGCGATGAAATACGTGAGCGACAAGTCTGGGGTCATGAGCGATGTCGTCGACCGACTGTTGCATTGGTCATTGCCAGCCATCCGGTCAGAGTTTGGGGACGGTGTGGCGTTGAGGATCGAGAGAACACTACCGGTCGGCATTCGTGCAGATGTGTTTCGTCTCGGAGCAGGAGGGGATGATTCGACCGCGGACGCTGAGGATGATGGTGAGCGTGAGGGTGAAGGGAGCGGTGGAGGCAATGGCGGGTCATTTTGTGGGTCGGATGATTCACTACGGCGTTCAGGGCATGGGTCACAGCGTGGGCGCAGATCGCGCGGGCGGCCACCAAGCCGTGGTAGGTCTCGTTCGCGTTTCGAACATGTACGTCCTTTGTGCTGGGACGATTCGAAGGATGGTGCTTTGCAAATCGGACCTTGCAATAATCGGTCTAAACATGTGTTGAAATCGATGGGGCGCTGGGGAGGCTCGGAAGCGCTTAATGTCGTCTTTGTGGAGCCGGTGAAGCTGCTGCAGTTGCTCGGGTTGTTCGATTTGAGTTGCCCGCGCCACGGGGGCGGTTGTGCTGTGGATGTGTCCTCTGTCGGTTATCCTGGGCATATTTGTCGCATTTCGCTCGCTTGTAAGAAGTCATGTCGTTGGACATGGCACAGTGCACTAGTTGGGGGAGTTGTGTACTCTTGCAGACTTCAGCAGCAGTTGTTCCATGCGACCGTCACAGCGGGTATGACATATACCGTCCTCAACGACTTCTGCATCGCGTTTCGGGTGACACTTGTGCACAAGCCCACTTTTTACAGTTGCATGCGAGGTGAGCCGAATGTGCGTGAGGGTTGGAATGCAAAGGTTGTCAGGCAGAGCGTGCGGTATTGCGACTTGGTCATTGACACGGTTATGTGATCAAGGAGACCCATCACTTTGATGGTTGACAGTCGCTACGACTCGGCCAGGTCTGCGCAGCATTGCACTGTTACCGCGATTGAGTGTCATACTCGTCTTATGGTGGGTGTTCACACTCTTCGGCCAAAAAATGAGGGAAAGGCGTCGAACCAACTTGAGGTTCCTGCAGTTGTGCGCTTGTTGAGAGGCCTGCTGTCGAGGGGGTTGAAGATCCGGTGTGTTGTCTCCGACGATTGTGCTGCATTGGGTCCACAGTTGAAGCGCCTGGGTATTGAATGACAGAAGGATTGCCATCATAAGGTAAAAAAAATTCGCAAGGCAATTAGAAAAGTCGTGACACTGAAGGTGCCAAAGAAATTGAACAACCCTCATCAGTGCGTGTCGGAATCTCAGTTTATGCAGTTCACGAAGAAGGAGTTGTTGAATGCCTTGACGGACCGTTATGGACCAGGGTCTTTGACGGTAAAAGAAGAACGATTGAAGAAGAGCGAGTTCGTTGCTCTTGTGATCAGCAAAATGTACCCGTACGGCACGATGAAAAACAACAAATCCTTGGTCGTGGATGCAGATGGTGTGACTGAGTTCCATATGCATGAGGTGGGGCATTGGTTTCTTCATGCTTCCCAGCTTTGCAGAGATGAGGGAGGCGACTTTGTCACTCTGCACAATGATGTCATGATGATCGCCGACGATTGGGCCGGGGACCACTCCAGGTGCGTTGCGGACAGAGAGCTTTTATGCTCAAAGGCGGGTGGCCCATCTCGGCTGCCTCTCTACACGCACGACGACCCCGTGTATGACATTATTCGCCAGACGTTGGGCAGGCATTGCAGCACGACCGTCTGTTCGTACTACACGGAATTTCCGTCACACGTCGACAGTTGAGACCTTCCAGGGCACAATCATCATTTAGGCGAAGAAGGCCTTGCACTTCGAGAAATCGTATAAGCCGCGTTTGGCGATTGCAGTCATTCGATGGAACAGTCATGCATGGCAGGATCCCTTGGAGTATCGTGTCCGCAGGCCTTCTGGGACTTCGATTCGTCCAAGGCCGAGCCATTACCGTCACAATCGGCCACCTACCGATTCGTGGATGGATCGGCTGTCCACGTTTATCTTCGGTTCAAAATGTGTTTCAGATTGGGCTCGACGCCTTCTCGAGTACGACGACTGTGATGCGTCGGGCGAGGTCGGGTCCTCGACACCTTCTCTGCCTCGCGATCGTTTTTGCAGAAGCGAGGATACCATTGCCCGTGACGAGGACGATGTTGCTTCAGGTGCGGATCCCGACGTTATGGGGGATGACGATGTTTTCATCATTGGTGATGGGGATGGGTTGCCTGGACCGGCGGATGCCATGTTCGATCGATCATGCGATTCTCTATCGGACGCAGATGATGTCGAGTTGTTCGACGAATGACATTATGTTATGTCGTAGTATCTTGTACATGCGACTTTTATGTTTGTTGCATTTTCAGTTTGACGTGTTCATTGTATATATATATTGTCAAATAGAACTGCCCGGTAAACCGTAGGCAGAGAGGGAGAAGATGACAACAAACGAGGGGCTGTGACAAACTGTTTCGTCGGAGTTTCACCGACTCATCAGGAGGCTGAACCCTCAACAGTCTGYAGAATCCCCTCACTGATTAYACTGTAARTGATAATCYACCTTAACCAAAATCAAAGTAGACTATCACTCACCCACACCAGATGTATATATATATATATATATATTTCAGTCTGACTGCGAAGACTGATGGCGAGGCTGTATACTACCCCGTAGGGTAAGATTTGTAATTTCTTTTGACTCGGGCGTAACCGTGAGACCAACCTGTGAGGAAAATTCGTGACGGCCACATCTGTAAATATGGAAAATATAGGTCCAACATTATTTCGAATTTCCTATACGTACACTTACTGCGATTTGCAGGCCCGGACTACCCCCAGGACAGACAAGCCCTAATAGACAGAGCTGATGGACGGTCCTATAGCCTATAGTCGGGTCCGGTAGAGGCCGAGAGGGCGAAACTGCAACGATATTGGTTGGTTAGTCAGTCCGATCTACGTGTAGGTTAGAGTATTGTACTCTATTAGTAGAATGAGGGAAATCGATTGGGGACGAAGCGACTGTAACAAACTGTGTTATGATATTCGTTCGAGTTGGCTCATTATCAGCATCATATCAATTGTGATTTAGTTGAGGTTCTTTATTGTGATTGTTTGTTGGGAGTCTGTCGGAGAGTGAGAGTCATTGTGTGACCTCCCCCATGTGTGCATGGTTGAATTCCGCTGCTTATCCTTGTCTGTGTGCAGTTTTCACTCTGTCACCTCTCCCGCTCTTGTTATGCAGGTGTGGGCATGTTTTATATTGTATGGGTGGTTAGGTGGTTTAAAAAACAAAATCGTCTCCCCCTGTTCTTATGCATGTGTGGCCGTGTTTGAGAATGTCTGTGTGTGAGCGCCGGAATAAATCGTCAGACAGCCAAGTGATATATATATATTATTTTTTTTTTTCCTCACATATGTGATGGTATCTCATGTCTTGTGTTTGACATTTTTTTTCACTTTTTTTCGTCCTCTGCGTATAGATATTATTGGACCAATGTCGAGTTACATATACATCCATACTTCACATGCTTACGCACTTAGGCAATAGTAGGATCGCACATTATACAACCCAAGCAATTCAAATTTTCACGTTGATCCAATATTGCAATGAAATCCAGTTGCAACAGTAAATGAATGAACTTCAGTGGCGAGAGCGAGGATTAGCATCGCTCAGACTCCATTGCCAATGATACAATGACATACAATTGCAAAAAGAAATAAATGAACTTCAAATGAGAGATCGAGGATTMTAAGAAGAAGAAGATGATGTACAACAGAGAAACCAAATTTTACATAATGCAATCCCTGCAAGTCACGACAACAGGTAAGTACCGGGCCTGATGGCCTGTCCAACAAGCACGGGCCGTTACGGGGCACACCAAAAGTAACCCCCACGCTTAAGTTTACGATCGCACACACACACTCAAGGCAAACACACAGCCGGACTGACAAACGTACTCACACTGCAGGTAAGCATACTCTCTCTCTCTCTCTCTCTATCTATCTATCTATCTATCTATCTATCTATCTATCTCTATCTCTATCTATCTATCTATCTATCTATCTATCTATCTCTCGTGAAGCATTTACCGCCGTGCACGTCGACGCGGGCGCGCGTTTTCAGGAGGATCACATTGTCGTAGTTCAAAACCTCGAATAATTGTATCTGGCCATCGTTCCCGCATTGCGTCTTGTATGGGAAAGGGTGAATATTGTTTTGTCACTTATGTGTGATTTTTTTGAAATCCACAAAACGGAACATTACGGGCACCGATTACCTTAGTACTGTACCTACTGTACCTCCACATAACGAAAACGAAAACAAATTTAAGAACGCAAAGCAGGCAATTTTTTTTTTTTTACTGAAAACATATAACAAACACATGGGAGATAGGGCTTGCATATGTATAAAGAGGGAATATACAATCATTGAAACCATCATTTTCTCTCTCTCCAACAACGAAGAAACTAAGAAAAAAATTAACGAATGACACTCATCATTGGGTCGCACTGCAAGGATAAAACATGCCAGAGAAATTCTCGCCAATAGATACAAAATAGGGCGGTGACACGACCAGGCGCCATACGCCGTCCCGAGCAACCGTCCCGTAGTGTGTGTATAGTATACGATGCACAAGGGGGAATACGATATCATACATAAAATCACCGTCGACCGGTTTGAGATCAAAGGTACTGAAGTGCGTGGTTGACTTAGACATTAGGACACGAACGTGCTCGATGGTGTGGTCGGGAATATAAGTTTCTGTAGTGAGTCTAACGACTCGTTCCTCCTCCACGCTGACAACGAAATGACGATCCACCTTCTTGTATCCATTGCGGTATCCCGCTGCATCGCCGACAGGATCTGTTACGGGAGTCACTGCTTCGTAATAGTATACAGTGTCGCTGCCTGTCAGTTTTGTGGTGTGGTAACATCGGACAATCATTGGCGCGCAATGCATCGTCGCTTCTTTCGTATGGCGTTCAAAAAATGTTGCAATTCATAGAAACCGACACCGTAACTTATGAACCTAACGATCGAGCAATGAATAACGCAAACATGATATTTTGCATGTACCGCATGGGGAGGGGGAACACACTTTAAACATATGTATGGGATGAGTGGGTAGTCGCGGTCTCGAACACTGTCGAATGTTAAAAACCTTTACGATTTTGTGAGTCAACCCACCTGTTTCAGACTAAGCATGAGACGACCGGGATAATGGTTCGTTGACACTTTGGTACTGTTGTCGGCAACCGTCCATTGGCAACACAGTGCGCACATCTCCGTGGAGAAAAGTACGGCGTTGCAGCGACCTGTCGAGTTAGGAGAAATACCATGCGTTGGGTGCTAACCTTTCCACATGCTCGACCACAACGACTGACACGATGCACCTTAGCAAATGACCAATCATATCGAAGTCGGGGGGTTCGCAGGCATGAGGAACGACATCCGAAAGCTTTTTTGCGTGCATTACAACCTCATCAAGGCGATCATGGTCGTCGTACCCCAGCCTTGCCACAACCCTTAAAGCGAGGGTGTCATCGATGAACGCGTAGTACACACGTGTTTTCGTGGCGACAACCCCTTCCCATTGTTCAAAGTCTCTTTCGTTTTCAGTATCGCGCTCACACACTGTCTCCCTCACGACGATTTCCTTTTCATCCACAGTCTCTTTCACAACAACAACAACGTCGGCCATGTTGTGTCGCAAGGTTGGATAAGTGAACCTGACAATTACGAATAGTCTCAATTGCTAGGCGACAACACTGCGAAAGATGACAGCAACACAATGCGTACGATAAGCGACGGACACAATGAGTCCAGTCTCTCGGCTGTCAAAAATAAATATTCATAATTACGAACAGTAATACGTTGGTTGGTTAGTTGGGTGGTTGGGTGGTTAGGTGGGCGGTTTGGTGGTTAGGTGGGCGGTTTGGTGGTTTGATGGGTTGGTTGGTTGGTTGGTTAGGTGGTTGGGTGGGTGGTTGGGTGGTTCGGTTGTTGCGTGGTTGGGTGGGTGGGTGGTTGGTTGTGGGGTTAGGTGGGTGGTTGGGTGGATGGGGGGTTAGGACGGACGGTTGGTTGGTTGGCCGGTTGGATGGCCGAGCTCCAAAACATGGGGTTGTTGAGTGGTCGGTCGGGTGGTGGGATGACAGTTATTGGGTGGTGGATGGTTGGGTGGATGTGGTGGTTGGTTGGGTGGTTGGGAGGATCGTACATTTGGGTATTATGTTTGGGTGAGTGCGTTTGTGGATTGCTTTATTGGTTGGGTGGTGGGTGGGTGGGTGGGTGGTTGGGTGGTGGGACGGCGGGTTGGTGGGTGGGTGGGCGGTTTGGTGGGTGGCTGGTTATGTGGGTGGTGGGTGACTGGTTATGTGGGTGCTAGATTTTGTTTTTTATTTTTTTATTCAACCAAGATATATATCGTCACAAATAAAACTGCCCGGTAAACCGTAGGCAGAAAGAGAGAAGAGGACAACAAACGAGGGGCTGTGACAAACTGTTTCGTCGGAGTTTCACCGACTCATCAGGAGGCTGGATATATATATATATATATATATATATATATATACATATATATATATATAGAGAGAGAGAGAGAGACGTACTTACGTGTGTGAAACATATCACTTTGTGAATAAACGAACCCCGCATATATTGCACATTCTCCCAGTCCCAAATGCGACATCATATGTTTGTAAATGACAATTTTCTTTTTGAGTTCACTGATCCGATTGATGTGCTGGGCGATGGAACATTCCTCTGACATAAGGTCCCCGAAGACGGGGGAACCATTGTTGTGCTCCCAGTTGGGTAGCGAACACATGTTAGGCAACGACCTTCACTGTTGCACCTCACAGTCCCTGTGCCAGACAACATCCTGTTCATATGAGAACCATCAACACATGGCTGATTTGCATTAGCAGTCTGTGTTCTGTAATGCAGAAGTTCATTTTCCCTAGCATTCACACGTCGTTCATGCAAGTCGATTTCTTGTCGCATAGCATGCAAATCAGCAGTCGTGCTCTGAAGGACTTCCTCGACCGAATGCAAGCGTTTCGTAGCCATTTCAAGAGTGTTGACCACATCTTTAATTGCGAGTCTTACGTCGCTCAGCAGTTTGTCTTTCGACATTTGTGCACACGATGAACTCGAATAATAACGACACCGCAATGAGACCTTGTAGTGGTTGCATGAATGAAATACAGCACGTGACATAGTGTTATGCGTTACATCTCTCTCTCTCTCTCTCTCTCTCTCTCTCTCTCTCTCTCTCTCTCTCTCTCTCTCTCTCGTTCTCTCGTTCTCTCTCTCTAAAGCATCCTACTTTTCTGAATCAGAGAAACCTTTGTTCCAAAAACTAG